GCCTAATAACATATTTATGGGCAGAGATCACTTAGAGCTTCACAGTGTCCCCAGAACCCCTGGTCACAATGTTCTCATCAGCAGAACTGGACACTGGCCTGAGGGCGCCAGTGGCCGAAAGTCCAGGGAGCAGCCTTGGGCAGGCCGGGGAATGCGGGCAGGAACGGACCCAGGGCGCTTCTGAACGGAGCTGCTGGTAGTGCCTACGTTTTGGTAACTGGCAAAGCTCTTCAGGCTTTGAAAGTGGGTCTGGGAGGCTGTCTGGCTCAGTGGTTTGGGGCACTGTGACCTAACACATCACGTAACCTCACCTGCCTCAATGCCCTCATCTGTAAAATGCAACTGGTTGTTCCAAGGATGCCAGGAAATGATACCTGTAACACCCCCGTCGCTGTGCCCCGTAATGGTGTTCCGCAGCACCGTGTGAGCACCTGCTGTGTGGCAGACAATCTAGAAGCGGTGGCAGAGCAGGAGAGAGCTGACTAAAGCCTCTGTCTTTGCGGAGCTGACGTTCTGGTGGGAGAAACTGATGTGAGTAAACACACAGGCAAGCATGGAGATAGAGCGTATCAATGGCAGTAAGGTGTCTGGAGGAAAAAGAAAGCTGGGAAAGGGAATGATGGAAGGACGTTGGGGGTGGGTGTCACTGAATCCGCTGGGACTCCCAGGGTCCTCAGTACCACAGAACCGAGTGAGCCTGCACCACCCAGGGTCCTGTAGCCCAGAACAAGGGGACCCTGCACCACGTTCTCCATCAAAGCTTTCGTTGATGCTGTTGTTGTGTCACTGTCAATCACCTCACTGAGCGTCTTCCCTCTTTTCAGTGACCTCCTGTTTTCACAATCATGATGTCCCTCTCCAGACACTTTGCTCGTATTGTTGTGTGCCACGGAGTCGAAACTGACCCGCAGCCTTCAGAGGCAGTAAATCTCAGGCAGGAGATAACCCGTCCTCCTGCGGAGCAGCTGGTGGGTTTGAACCGCGTGCCTTTGGTGTGACAGTGTGGTTCCCTACCACTAGGCCACCAGAGCTCTCTAGACCAGAGCGTACTAGCTTCTAGGCACTGGTACCTCCTAATAAGCGGCCAAAGGATGTGAGATAAGGAAATCCCACCACCCTCGTTTCTGAGGGGCAATCTGACTGCTTCTTCCAAAATGGACTTGTTTATTCTTTCACCCACCTGTGATATGTTCCATCCTCTTCACCAGCTTCACACTTCAAAGGGGAAGCTCAGAACTCAAACTCATTGTGGTGGAGTTGGAACCAATTCATAGCTGGCCCTTCAGAGAGTCTTCTGAGGCTTTAAGTCACTTGGGAGGAGATGGCCCGTCTTCCTTGGAGCAGCTGGTGGATTCGAACCACCAGAAGGGTGCTACCTTTGGGCTAGCAATACAACTCCCTACAGTCTTTGCCACTGGAGAGAGGACCTAAAATAGAGTGGTCGCAGAAGACCTTGCTGAACAGGTAACATCTGAACAAAGATGAGGGAAGTGAGGGAGCGAGCCAGGCAGACCTGAAGGATAAAGGCAGTCAAGCAAAGGGAACAGCAAGTGCAAAGGCCCTGGGGTAGGGTTGCGGGTGATGTGGTTAGCAGGGGAAAGTGGAAGCAGAGACCAGAGTGAGTCACCCAAGAAGCAAGCAAGAGAAGAAGGTGGCATGACAGGACGTGAGGTGGTTGGATTCTGAACCTATTTCAAGAGACAGTGGGACTTGCTTTTGGGGCAGACTCTGAGATCGGTCTCATCAGGGAGCACTCCAAGATTTACCTGAGCCAGGGGAAGGAGGACCTTGTCCCTGGCGGCGATGCGGAGGGCACAGATCTGCGCGAGAAGCTGGGAGTTTGGGTTGGGTGCTCAGAGCTGGGGAGGGATTGTGGAGACAGGGAGGGAGCCTCAAGAAATTGGCGCCTAAGATTGAGGATGGGCCTATTCATGGGAGTTTTGCCGTAGAGCTGGTATTTGAAGTCTTTCTGCTAGAAGAGACGTGGGGGTGGGGGTGGGGGATAGTGTGAACAGAGAAGAGAACCAGGCCCTGGTCTCGGGCTGCCTGGTTAGCAGGGGAGATGAAGAGGAGGAGGAGGGGGGAAAGCTAGTGAGTGAGACTGAGGTGCAGGGAGGGGACAGGAGAACTTCGAGGGCAGACAGTTTGGAGATGTGGGAGTGACCAGCCCTCTCAGATGCTGAGTGGGTCCCTGGGACAGATTGCCTATCTTTAGACATGTGTCCCCCCCTAAGTGGGTTGCTGACCAAGGGGCCAAGGCCGAGTCACGTGTTCATATGAGCCACATGCACCGTGCAGTAAGTGGAGCACATTCTCTGAGGGAAAATGGGGTGCTGTTGCCTGTGGGAGTGGGGATGGGGCAGATGAGGCTGCAGGGTGACCTTGCCCAGTGATTGTTGGCCTTTCAATGGGGCCTGTAGGAGAGTGAAGCACCCCTGGGGCTCAGCTCAATGTCATTGCTAGGAAAGGCAGAGGAGGTGCTGGGGAGGGAATGAGGTCAGGCTGGAAACACTGTGTAAGCTGAGGCCAGGCCCCACAGGAAGGCTGAGTCAGGGTCGCAGACTGCTGTGTGATCTCACCCGCAGGCTCACATCTCTGGGTGGTGAGTGAAAGGCAGGCTTGGTCCTCTCCTTAACCTGAGAAAGCTTTCTCCAGAAAGCTGAGCAGAAGCACAGGGTCTGGGTTCCTCCACAGCTCTGTAATTAACGTGTGTGGCCCCGGCTCACCATCCGGGCAAAATGAAATGGCCTGGCGCTATGTTAACACAGCACTGAATTATTTATTGCCTGAGTTCCCTTGGCTATTAATGTGATGGACATGGTGAGTGACCTGGCTGTCCGGGCGGGGCCTGAGGTGCTGGAGGAAATTTCTGGGGACCTAGTGCCTCCCATTTGTTCTAAAATGGAAGACAATAGACCTACAGACCATTCCTTCTCCCATTGCTGGGTCTCTTTCCTCTTTTACTCCAGGTGAATAGGGACCAGTTGTCATAGCTTGATACTGCAAGCTTTTAAGACTATAGGCAGTGCTCACTAAGGAGGTGGTTTTTCTTAGAAAGGTTAGTTGTTGGTCTTAGAAGCCCTGGAGTCAAGTATGACCCATGGGGACCCTATGAACAACAGATCCAAACCCTGTCCTAGCCTGTACCAACCTCACAATCGTTGACACACTTGAACCTGTTGCTACAGTCTCTATGTCAATCCATCTGTGTGTCTTCCTCTCCTTTTAAAGCATGATGCCACTCTCCAAGGGCTAGCCTCTCCACAACTTGCTTGAAATATGTGAGACGAAGCTTTATCACCTTCACCTTCAAGGAGCACGCTGGCTGCCCCTTCTTCAAAACACATCTGTTTGTTCTCTTGGCCGTCCATGAAATGTTCAGTGCTTTTCTCCAACACCACAGTTCAAAGGCATCAATTCTTCTGGCATCTTTAGTCACTGTGCAGCTCTCAGATGCCTAACAAGTGACTGAAAAGACCATGGCCTGCATCAAGTGCACCTTAGTCCACAAACTGACACGATTGCTCCTCAACATGTTGGAGAGGTCCCTAACTGCAGACATGCTCGATGCAACACGTCTCCTTACAGCTGGTACCAAGGATGTTGATTGTGGATCCAAGTAAGATGAAGTCATTGACAGTTTCAGTGTTTTCTCCATTCATCACGACTTTGCCCATCAGGGAGACTTTTCATTTTCTTGGCAATGGGTAGGAGGTAGGGCTAAATCAAAACCCAACCCAAGGACGTCTCATATCTCATTTTCCTATCTCAGCAACAGTAGATGTAGAGTTCAACTCCTGGCCACCTTCCGTTGAGTTTTATAGCTTAATGGGAGGAGATTTCCCATCTTTATCTCTTGGAGTGAGTAGTGGATTTGAACTGCTGACCTGTGGGGTAGATTCCTAGGAGGCAAAACATAAAATTTTAAACCATTATTAGACCAGTTGATCAGACAGGTCCATGGAATCTTGATCCTAAATGTTTGAATCCGGAAAACTAATTCCACAAAGTGTTCCTTTTTATCCCTTGCTGGTGTTCAAAAATGATATATAGTGTTCTAGTTGTTGTTTTAGGAGCCCTGCCGGAACAGTGATGAAAAGCACTTGTCTGCTACCCAAGAGGTGGCAAGTTTGAACCCACCAACCCCCCTTCAGAAGAAAGAGGCGCAGCCTTCTTCCCTACAAATCGGAGGCCCCAGAGCCGCTGTAGGGCAGTGCTTCTCCATCCTGTGGGGTTGTTAAAAGTTGAGATCCGTTCTCTGGATTTGGTTTGTGTTTTGTCATTTTGCCCCACTCCCATGTTTGCTTTTTAAAAACTAATATGGCTAAATGAGATCAGTAACAATCATCAAGTTGTATAAACATTACTTTAGTTGGTGCCAGTTTGCCCATAGCCAGTTTCTTTTTATGACCTCCTGTATCATTAGCCTGTAGATGAGTCATCATTGATTTCATTGATTATGGATATAATCAGTGGATAGAAGCTAAGGCTGTTTCCAGTCTTCTGGTGCGGGGGACTTTTCACCCCGGGAGAGTGTGTCTCGGATGGAGTGACTAGGTAAACATGGTGTTTAGGGACTGTTTACTCTTAGAGTTGTGAGCTGCTGTTGTTGTTAGGTGCTGCCTGCTTGGTTCTGGCTCATATAAAGCCCGTGCACAGCAGAGCAAACCCCTCTCCAGCTCTGAGCCGTCCTCATAGTTGCTGCCCATTCTTGCAGCCATGCTGTTTGGGGTCTTTCTCTTTTTCACTGACTCTCCACCTTCCCCAGCATGGTGACCTTCTCTAGAGACGGTCCCTTCCTGATAACATGCCCAGAGTATGAGGGGGCACGCTTAGTTCTTTGTGGTGGATAGACATTTTCCCTCAACACGAGCTTAAATGACATCCTACCTGTTAAGGACTAAAGCCATGTGTTGAAGTCCTAACACTTGTTCTGTGAACTTGACCTTGTACAGGGAAGTAGGGCTGTTCTTTGCATGGGATGAATAATCAGGTAAGTCATATCAGAGCAGAATGAGTCTGACTCTCATGCCTTCTGAGTGGTGTCTTATAAAAGCAAAAAACAGGCAAGCTCTGGTGGCCTAGTGGCAGGAAACAGCACTGTAATCCCAGAGGTGCACAGTTCAAACCCACCAGATGCTCTGCTGAAGAAGGAGGAACAATCGCCTCCTGTACCAGTCAGATCCAATTTGACGGTACACACATTAAAAAAAAAAATTACAACAATAAAAATTCTTAAAAAAAAAAAGCAAAAAGCACATGGAGAGAGAGAGTCATCCGCATGGAAAAAGACATCATATAGGTGTTCAGCTAGAAGTCAAGGAACACCAATAGATGCCCAGGGCTACAGAAGCTGAAAGAGACAGACAGACAGGGAAGCCCTGCAGCCACCTTCTGTTAGGACTCCAGCCTCCAGCACTGTGAGAAAACGACTCTGTTCTGGAAAGTGACCCTTTTGTGGTGATTTTCTGTAGCAGTGACACTGGTGCAACAAACAGCAAGGTTTTGCGTGTTCAGTTATAACTAAAACCTTGGGCAATGACATTTCACCCATTTCCTCCCTGTCATTGCACTCCGAAAAAAAGTCTAAATACATGTTTTTGTTCAAGAAATAAATGTGTTCATAATCATCATTGATTATCACTGTGTTTCTTTTTGGGTTTTATTAGTATTGTAATTTGAGGAAAAGTTTGCAAAGCTAATTGGGTTTCCATTTGACTCTTCACACACATATTTACTTCATGGCATTAATTACAATACCCCAATGTAACTAGTCTTCCCACTTACTTCTTGTGATTCCTGTTTCCACAGATCTGTCCATTCTATCCTTTCTACCTTCTGAGGTCTAGTCTCGGGCTGATGCTGCCCTTTTGATCGTGTAGGGTTGATTATTCTGGGAAGTGACTACCTCTCTGGAATATTGTTCTCCTTACTGCCTGTTGAGTTATGTTCCAGGGCTGAACAGTGACTTAGGGCCTTAGTCTCTGGAGTTCTACTAAATCCTATTAGACCAAAAAGCCTGCCTTTGTTTTATTGATTTGAATTTTGTTCCATTTGAATTTTCTTCTCCTACTGTATTTAGCACCCTCTACCAAGAGAACAATCATGTCTGGCCTGGAGAAGCTGAAACCAGGTTGCTCCTTGGAGGCAAAGATTTTGAAGCTCTGTCTTACATACTTTGGGCATTTTTGTCAGAAAGGGCCAGTCCTTGGACAAGGACATCAGAGTTGGAAGGGCAGAGGGTCAGCACAGGAGAGGAAGACCCTGGATGAGATGGGCTGGCCCAGTGACTGTGGCAGTGGGACCAGGTGTGTCCGTGAGGGCGAGGTTGACTGAGGTTAGGACGGGGTGGCTGTGAGATGTCATCAACTTGATGGCACGTAACAGCAACAACACACTGTGATGCCTTCAGCATGGTCAGCGGTGGGAGCTGGGCACCGTCTAGCTCTTCTGGCCTCTGGGTCACGGAAGTTGAGATTCACATGGCCCGTTTGTCCTTTGGACTGATTCTGTGCCTCTTTGCTTGCCTTTCCTCTTCTTTGTTCTGGTCAGAGAAAGACGTTAGGACGTGGCTGCTCGAAAGCTTTACGATCCACACTGAAACGCAACAAAATAGGATTTAGAGCAATGTCTTTGTGAAGGATGTTATGGGATGATATAAACATTTGTCTCAAAACCTCCAAGAGGAGAATACTCTTCATTACCCTGCCTTGGGCCTGTTACCTGTATTTTCTTTTATGCTGGTTCTGTTTGGAGATTGCCTGTGTGGCCTCAGAATCAGTGATTTTGCTCCTGGTCATTCGACTAGACCATGCGCACTGAGCCCATGTTAACGGTGGCCTGAGGCTCACAGCAGCCACCAGCCATCACTAGAAGTTTGACCAGCTTGAGAGCTCAGACCTGCTGACCTGGGGCCCTGGGCATGGCTGTGTCCGTGACATAGAGCAGATGAGTGGACTCCACGGCCGACCTTGGCAGAGCCTAACAGGTTTCTTCTCATTGCAGGGCAATATGGGTCCCGCCTCCTTCTGGCTCCTGCTCTTACTGCTCAAGCATCCGGAGGCCATGGCCGCTGTCCGTCGGGAGCTTGAGCAAGCCCTCCAGAGCATGGAACAGCCCCTCTCACAGATGACCACCCTCCCCCAGAAGGTCTTAGACAACATGCCAGTGCTCGGTGAGATGGCCAGGCCCTCCCAGGAAGCCCCACAGACTGAGCCCCCCTCAGCTCTCTCCCGTCTCCCAGGGCCCATCTGTGATTTCTGACCTGGGACCTCCCTGGGCCTGCTGTCTTCTTAGACTTGACAGTTCCATGCCCTGGTGTTGCCTGCCTAACACTCATGGTTTCAGTGGGATAATGTGGTTGCAAGTGTCAGAAAATGCAGCTTCCCTTGGCTTAAACAGATAAGGGACTTTATTTGAAGGGTGTAACAAAAAAGTCTAGTGGGGTCTGACTTTTACATTAGACACAGAGGAGTCCACGTATGTGAATAAATGCCGTCAGGGCTCTCAGTCTGCCTCCATCTCTCAGCTGTCAGGATGGCCACCCACCCTTCTAGGCAGACATGCTCACAGCCCTGGAAGGGAGTGGCCTTTCTTGAAACTCCTGCTGTGTTTCTGTATGTGTCTCACTGGCTCTGTTGGATCAAATGCTTATCTTGAACCAGTCATGGGACCTGGAGGCTTTGGGATACCCTGATTAGCGAGTCACAATTCATCATAGAAGTTGGGAATAGACTCAACATCATGTTCCCCCAGAGAGAAACCAAGGGATTCTTTCCTGAGGAAGGGGGAAGGTATGGTGGGCAGGCAGACACAACCAGTACTGATGACCCCATCTTCCGAGAAGCCCCTCCTGCTGTCTTCCTGGCTTTTATCGTCCCTCACAACATCTCTGGGGATCAGAACTGGAGTTCTTTCAAGTCCAAGATCTCAGAGGGGACAGAGTGACCACATCTCATCATCTGGCTTTCAGATGTGCTGTGTGACCATGGGCGAGACACCCACCCTCTCTCAGGAGCTCCTCACCTTCCTATGATGGTTGCGAATGACATTTGAGTGGGTGAGTGGACAATGTACTGACCCTTCCCTACACTTGAACCCATGCAGACAGCGTGCTGAGTGAGAGCCTCCGGCTCACAGCTGCACCCTTCATCACACGAGAGGTCGTGGTGGACCTGACCATGCCCTTGGCCGATGGGCGGGAATTCTCCCTGCGACGTGGTGACCGCCTCCTCCTCTTCCCCTTCCTGAGTCCCCAGAAGGACCCAGAAATCTACACAGACCCAGAGGTAAGTGCCAGGTCCCCGGGTCATTGGGAAAATCTGTGACGTGACCCTCAACCAGATCTGACAGGCAGCCTGGTCCAGCCCTTCATTTGCTGGGGGACCCTGCACAAATTGCTTCGCCTCTCTGTACCCGTTTACTTGTCAGTGAAACGGGCCTTGCAACAGCATCTGCTTGTCATGAGGAGTCAAAGAGGTCATGTGACAAAAAAGAAGGCAGGTGGCCTGTGGGTATGGTTCCTGAGCGATTTTCTTTTTCTCCAGAATGTTATTATCTGAACTTATCAAGTTTATCTCCCTGGTGTAAACATTCACAAATGCTAATATATTTGGGTGCCTACTATTTGCCAGGCCCTGTGCTATGTATACATTCACTTACCCATCCATCCAACCATTCATCCATCCATCTACTAATCCATCCATCCATCCATGTACCAACCCACCAATCCATTTACCTCCCTACCCATCCATCCATTCACCATCCATCCATCCGTCCCTTCATCTATTTATCATCCATCCATCCATCCATCCATCTACCCATCCATCCATCCATCCATGTACCAACCCACCAATCCATTTACCTCCCTACCCATCCATCCATTCACCATCCATCCATCCATCCATTCATCTGTTTATCATCCATCCATCCATCCATCCATCCATCCATCCATCCATTCACCCATTCATTCATCCATTCATTTGTTCTTCCATCTTTCTGTCCATCCATCCAACTACCCATCCACCCAGTCATCCATACATCCATCAACCATCTGTCCATCCATTTATCTATCCACCAGTCCATTTGCCTCTCCTCTCATTCATCTTTTATTCCGCACCAACTCTGTGTCAGGCCTTGTCTACCACACAGCATAACCCAAGGAAATGAGCACTCTCATGTCAAAAGTAAATTTAAAAAGAATTTGAATTTCAGAGGTAATATATCATTGTCATAAAGTACAAATATATCTTTTTATATAACAGAAAAACGCATTGATGTGCACAGCTGTGGTTGGAACAATGGGCTCAAGTTTATCAGTGGTTGTGAGGAGGCATGAGACCAGGCAGAGCCTTGTTCTGTTTACAAGGTGTCTCTACGGGTTGGGACTAACCCTGCGGCACATAACAACATCAATAACAATATTTAAAAAGTAAAATATTGGCATCTCTCTGGTTCCAGAATTCTTACAGATGTTTGGAATATATCCTTTTAAATTTTTTATATCTTTACAATGTATGCATAACACACTCGTTCATGGATAGATAGATCGATAGATAGATCAGTAGATAGATAGATCGAACGATAGATAGATAGATATGAATATAGGGTCTTATGAGTCTTACATTCTACAGACAGACCTCAGAGGTTTTGTGGGTGCAATTTCAGACCCCTGCATTAAAGCAAATATATATGAAACAGGTCACACAAATTTTGGGTTTCCCTATGCTTGGAAGGGTGGAGGGACAGCAGAAGAGAGAGAGACCCCGAATGAGATGGATTGATACAGTAAGTGGGGTAATGGGGGTGGGTGTGTCAGAGTCAGTGAGACTGGCTCAGGACAGGGCAGGCTTCAGAGCTGCTCTACATAGGCTCGCTATGAGTCGCCGGCAACTCAACGGCACGTAACAACAACAACAACAGCAGCTACGCGTGTAGAAGTTATGTTTACACTGATTGTTGTACATGTAATAACATTATGAGTAAGTTTGAAATGTTGTGAGAACAACTGAAATGTGGCACAGAGACACGACGTGAGTGCATGCTGTTTGGAAAAATGGCTTCAATAGATTCGCTCAACGCAGGCTTGCCACACACCTTCAATTTGTAAAACAAAACAAACAAACAAAAACCACACTGTCTTTGAAGTGTAATAAAGGGAAATGAAATGAGCTATGAGACTTCCGGTATTCCCTGACACTGCCTTTTCCCACTTACCCTCCAGGCTCAGACCCACTCCATCCTTCTAAACGACTGCCATCGTTTCCTGCCTCAGCCCCTTCCGATGGACATTCACACTAGCTTTCCCCTGTTAGGAACGAAAATGTCATAACATCCTCAGAGGTCTTCTTTTGGGGGTGCGCACTTTGAGTGCTGTGGTGGTGTTGAATGGGAACCATTGAGTTGGAACTGACTCACAGCTGATCTTTCAGCAGCTTTTCAAAAGCAGTCAATTGCCCATCTTTCTCCCATGAAGCAAACTGGTGGATTCAAACCATGTACCTGTGGGTTGACAGCTCAATTCCTTACCACTAAGCCACCAGAGTGCCATCCATGGCTCCTTAGCTCCTTAATTGACCTCCCAGAGCAGCGTCATTTTGAGGGTAGATATCAGACATAGATCTTTTTTTCTTGTTGTAGGAATTTAAATTCGACCGATTTCTGAACCCTGATGGATCAGAAAAGAAAGATTTTTACAAGGATGGGAAGCGGCTGAAGAATTACAACATGCCGTGGGGCGCCGGGCATAATCATTGCCTTGGGAAGATTTACGCCATCAACAGCATCAAACAGTGAGTACGGGCGACTCTGGAGGAGGAAGTCTCTGCTCCATTTGGGTGACAGTCACCTGCCTGTCCTGAGGACCAGGGCCTCCACCAGGACAGACTTAGAGGATAGGCCCCAACGGACCACCAGCGAGTCATTTCCTGCCCACAAATCTATTTTACTTGGCCCGCACTGTGCTTAAGGGGTGGGGGAGGAACTGTGCTCCCTTTTAAAAAATCAGAAGAGGCTAAGTGAAAAGCCAGATTTCTCATTTACTTTGAAATAATCTGATCTGGCATCATGTTCTTGCCAAGTCTGATGTCCAAATACCAAAACCCAGAGGACCTAGCACTGGCCATTCCATCCCACTGACCACGGCCGCCCAGCGGCTGCAGCGTGTTCCAACCTGTCCACCAGAACTGGCCGGAACTGCTCACTGGGTTATTTGAGTAGTACAAGCAGAACAAACTGTAGCTTCTGCTCCGTAACGCTCTTTGGACAGATGATCGAGATAATGGAGAGGGATGGTAAATGCTTCACACAGAGTTTGGCACGTGGCCCAAATGCTGGATTAAATCACCTAATCCTGTTGTTTTCATATTGCTTCATTGCCATGGCAACCTGCTAGCTCCCTGTCGGTCTAAACCAAGTCTCCCAAGGTCCCCTCCTTTGTCATGGTCATGGACATCGTAAGCGGAGGTGCCAGGATCCACAAATTCTTCCCTGGATCCCAAGAGCCTTGAACTCAAGAACACAGCCCAAGGCTGACCATAGGATCAGCCAGCTGCTCGGTCCTTCCACCCCCACCTCTTGTCGTCATGAGCGGGTCACCCCTCTGAGCCTCTCTTCCTCAACTAGAAAGCGAATCATACGTGATCACGGCTGAATCACAGCTGATCACAGCTGCATCACAGGGTGTCAGCAGGAACAAATTGGACCAGATTGTTTAGATGCTTAACACTCCGCCTGGCTCAGAGTGGCCCTGTTAAACCCAAAGGCCATTTCTCTCCGGTGGTTTGTGTCCACCTGCTGCTTCTTGGGAGAAAGATGGCCCGTCAACTCCTGTGTGCCTGACAGCCGTGGACGCCCACTGGAGGGTCCAGCCAGACGTTGATAGGTTTGCTAGTTGAATTCAGAGTTATTATGGGTAAATGAACCCAGGGCTGCTACAGTGGGCTTGACAACAGCAGTGATTGTGAGGACAGCGCTGGCCCTGCCCGTCTTCTCTGGTACAAATATTCCCTATGAGTTGATATCACTGGGCGGCACCTAACAACTACAACAACAACTATTATGTTATGATGGAATCCTGGGGTCACAGTGATTAAGCCCTCAGCTGCTAATCAAAAGGTCAACTGTTCAAACCCACCAGTCACTTCATGGGGAAAAGAAAAATGTGACAGTCTGTTAGTAAAGGTTTACGATCTTGGGAACTCAAGGAGGCAGTTCTCGTCTGCCCTTCAGGGTCGCGGTGACCTGCCATTGACTCAATAGGTTTTGGTTTGTTATTCTTACCATTATTAATGTTATTAGGAAACAAACAGGTTCATCCTAGAGAGAGTTAAACTAGGCTGCTCCTTGGAGGCAAGGATTGTGAAGCTTTCTCTGACATTCTTTGGACATGTTGCAAGGAGGGACCAGCCCTTGGAGAAAGACATCATATTTGGGAGGGTGGAAAGACAGTGCAAGTGAGGAAGACCATGAATGAGATGGATCAATGCAGTAACGGGGGTAATGGGGTAGGTATATTAGAGACAATGACGTTGGCACAGGATAGAGCAGGGTTTAGAGCTGTTTGCACATAGGGTCGCTATGAGTCACAGGTGACTCCATAGCACTTAACAACAGACTGTAGATCGTTGGTGAAGATCTTCATTACCCTTCTGTATGCCTTCCCAGAAACCACTGCAATATACAAAATTGTATAATAAAACCCATAAGGCTTATGGGTAATATGGGGCTGAGAAGGCAACCCTCCAAAACTTCATCCCTAAAAAAAGATGAGAATCTATTGGAACGTGTTAGCCTGCTTTATTACCTAACTTGGGAGGGACTGGAGAGCATTATGCTGAGTGAAGTAACTCAGTCCCACAAGGATAAATATTGCATTAGACCGTTATTGTAGAATGAGTATAAGGATCCAGGAGGGGTGGGAGAAGCTAGAAGCAGAAGGATGTGGATGTACAGGGGGGAAAGGGGATTAATCATTGGGTTGTACAATTTGATGAGTAGGGGTTAAGGGAAATGGAAAGAATTTTTTTGAACTTGTGTTAGAATTTTGTAAATAAACTAGTGAAAATTAAAAAAAGAAAGAAATGCATAGAGGCTACAATACACAGGGCCCACTGCCTTGAGACAGGGCCAGAAGGCAGGGTTCTGACCTGTTGCATATTAAGCAGAGAGGACTCGCAGGCAGTGAACAACAGGACTTTGGCAGAAGAGGACACAGAAAGGGTTGTGGTGTGTGAGTTGTTGGGCAGTGGAAGGAGTTTGTCTGAGACAGGAAAGAGAGTTGGGTTTTTTTTTATTGTTGTTGTTGTGTACTGTCAAATTGTATCCAGCTGGCACGGGAGGAGATTGCCCCTCCTTCTCCAGTGCAGTGTCTAGTAGATTCAAACTGAGCATCTTTGAGATTGCCGAGCAGCTTCTTGCTACTAGGCCACCAGAGCTCTGTTCAGGACGGAGGTTCAATGCCTGATGTGGATGAGTGTGAACGAGGTAAAAGCTGGTGGATGTTCCTCTGTGTGTGTGTGTGTGTGTGTGTGTGTGTGTGTGTGTGTGTGTGTGTGTGTGTGTGTGTGTGTGTGTGTGTGTGTGTGTGTGTGTGTATGTGTGTATGTGTTCTTCAGGGTCCAGCTCAGCTGAGTCTCCTTTCTTTGCATTCACATATTGTTCCTCACCAACGAAATCTGCACATGAGCAAATTTGAACTCTGAGTTATGATCAAATCAGCCTCTACGATTTCCCTGGAGGAAATTTGTGTTTTCACAACAAGCTATATAGCAGAACTGGCTGTATGTAGTGCCACCCTCATAAAGTTCTAGGCTGATGGAAACTTCACAACAAGCAAACTAACCCATTGTCATCGAGTCGATTCTGACTCCAGGTCACCCTCCAGGACAGGGTAGAGTTGTCCCACAGTGCTCTCAAGGCAGTCCTCTTCACCTGTGGAAGCAAGCTGCCACATCTTTGTCCCAAAGAGCCACTGATGTATTTGAACTGCTCTCTCGTTGGTTGGTAACTCAGCACTTGACCACTGCACCACAGGGCTCCTTATAAAGAAGAAAAAGGACACCAAATGCTTAGCACATTGTCTGGTACGCACTGTGCATATTTTGATAAATAAGTTAATTGTGTTTAGGAAATTTTTTTTTAATATCACTTCATTGTCACAGCAACTCTGCTGGAGAGGAATAGGTCTAAAACTGAGTCGCATCATTTGTAATGGTCACATGCTTAGTAAGGGGAAGAGCCAGGGTTCATATCCAGCTGTAGGTCAGAACCTCCCCCTATAAATTCATCTCGAGGGAGCTCTGGTGGCCTAGTGGTAAGAAGCTGCACTGCAATCCCGAAGGCACTTGGTTCAAATCTACCAGCTACTCCACAGGAGGATGGGTTATCTCTTCCTATGTGATTTACTGCCTCTGAAAATGAGCAATGGGTCATTTCTGACTCAATGGCTCACACCGCCACCACCACAATCTGGCCTAATGGGTAAGAAGCTGTATTGCAGTCCCAAAGGCACACAGTTCAAATCCACCAGCTGCTCCGTGGGAGGATAGAGAATCTCCTCCCGTGCATTCAGCTGCCTGTGGAAACCTGGAGGGGCAGCTGTGGGTTGGTTCTCAGTTGACAGTACACAACTACGTTCCTTATGAAAGCGGGTGCAGGCCTTTCTTCCACAGCACTCCTAGGGGGGCTTAAACGGCTAGTTTTTCAGTTAACACCAAGCACAGTCCGGAGATCACTAATGGTCATGCAGTAGGTCTTCCTTGCTTTGGTCTGGGATTGACACAGGTCACTTCTGTCCGTGCCCCAGAAGCCAGACTAGTGCGGGGCCTATGTAGCCACAGGAGGTGCTGGGGTTCTTGGTGAACCGTGGATGCCTTTACCATCTCTCTCTCAAGAATGTGCTGGGATCAGTCTCCAGAAGAAAGTTTTTCTGCCTTGTTTCTGGTCCGTACCCCTTCCTGACCTTCCCAGTGACACTGTCATTGTCATCTCTCTGCAGATTTGTGTTCCTAGTGCTGACACATTTCGACCTGGAGCTGACCAAGCCGGACGTGGAGATCCCTGCGTTTGACTTCAGCAGATATGGCTTCGGGCTCATGCAGCCAGAACACGATGTACCCATCCGGTACCAGGTTCGGCCATGATCCTCCCCACAGACACCTCCACCCAGCCCGCTCTCACCGACCCAATGCCCTGTGACTCCACTCTGTGGGGCTTCAGGACTCCAAACACCCCTCAATACTGGCTTGGCTTCAGTACTTGGCCTGCTTTTTTTTTTTCTGGAAGATTGTGTCTTAGAGAGGAAGTCAGTAAAAGCTTGGGATTGTCTGCTGCTCAGTTTCGTTCCCAAGATAAGTCCCTTTATGCTCCTAGCAGGCCTCATGCTTCACTCCCCCCACCCCTTGCTGTGTGCCATCGAGTCAGATCCGACTGGCACAGGAAGAGACTGCCCCTCCTTCTCCAGTGGAGCATCTGTTGGATTCAAACTGTGTGCCTTCAGGACTGCAGCGCAGCTTCTTGCCACTAGGCCACCAGAGCTCCCTGCATTTTATGATGACTACCGAGCTTATTCAGTGACTGGGGTAATTATTATTCAGTAACAGTTGTGTTAGCAACAATAGTGGCACAAGGTAAAACAGGTTTAAGGTTACTGTACCTAGGGTTGCTATGAGTCGCAAGCAGCACATAACAACAACAAACCAAGGCTAGATGTCACCTTGAAGACTAAGGCGCACCTCATTCAAGCCATGGTCTTCTCAGTCACCTGCTACCCGTCTGAGAGCTGGACTTGTATATGGGATGACAGAAGAAGAACTGATTCATTGTACTGTGGTGGTGAAGAGTACTGGACAACCTATGGACAGCCAAAAGAACACGCAGATAAGTCTTAGGAAGAGGGCAGTGAGGGTTCTCCTTGAAGGCAAACACGATGAAGCCCCTTTTCTCGTATTTTGGACATGTTGATAGGAGAGGCTATTCCTTGGAAATGGACCTCGTGCTTGGAAAGATGGTCAACGATAGAGAGGACTTCCAACGAGACAGATCAACACAGTGACTGCAGCAATGGTTTCAAGTGTGGCAGAGATGGTGAGAACGACACAGGATAGGACAGGGTTCAGGTCTGGTGTTCAGAGGGTCGCCGTGGGTCTTACTTGACGAGACGGCACCTACAACAGCAGCATCTTTGTTCCATAGGCTGCTGACCACTGGAATCGATTCAGTGACAGCGATTCTTTTAGTCATACTGTTGTTGTGTGACATCAAGTTGGCTTTGACACACGCGACGCTTTGCACAGCTGACCGGAGCTGCCTAGCCCCATCACAATCGCCTGGTGGGGTGTGGAGCCTGTTGTTGTCGTCGTCACTCTGTCACCGCATCTCCTTGAGGTTCTTGCTCTTTTCCCCTGACTCTCTGCTTCCCCAAGCACCGTGTCCTTCTTAGTATTGGTTCCTGCTTATTGCGTGCTCTCTAAAGGCCAGTGTGGGCTCTACAGACACTGCTTCTCTCCTTTTCAAGCATCTCTAAAGTGAGGAGGGTGACATCGACCCTCTTTCCAGGTGAAGAAACGGGCCAGAGAGGTAAAGAGCCTGAGATCGCACAGCTCGTAAGTGGTAGAGCTTGGTGAACACTTGTGACTCCAGGAAACACATGGCTAGAAGGGCCACTCTTTGTTCCTTGGGCTCAGAGAGGAGGCCGTGGGGGCGATTCAGTTTGGTATTGCAGAGCTGATAAAACCTGAGGCACCCACGCAACCATGGACCACATGAAAAAGACACACAATTAGGTCCTTCTGGCTTTAGCTGGTGGGAGCTCTGGTGGTCTAGTGGCAAGAAGCTGAAATGTGCCCATCAACAAACGAATGGATAGAGAAACTGGTATATTCACACAATGGAATAATACACTGCATTGCAAAACAAGGAATTCGGGGAGCTCTGGTGGCCTAGTGGCAAGAAGCTGCACGGCAATCCCAGAGGTACATGGTTTGAAACCACCAGATGCTCTGCTGGAGAAGGAGGGGCAATCTCCTCCTGTACCAGTCAGATCTGATTTGACGGTACGCACACACAAAATAATAAAATGAAAAAAATTTAAAAAAGAAGAAAAACAAGAAATTCATGAAATATACAAAATGGGTGACCCTGGAAGATGTTATACTGAGTGAAATATCTCATTCACAAAAGGACAAATACTGCATCATGCCACTGTTGTAAAATGGGACCGATATCGGAGTTGGGGGGAAACTAAGAGGGGATAAATAATGTACACTGCATTGAAACAGATGAGGGAGAGAACTGTTTAGGAGGAATATATGATTAGGTATTATTATCATGACAAGAGTCCAGAATGAAAGCTGCATAGTGGAGTGGACTGGGGTGGGGGGGGGGGCGCATGCGTAATTGTATAACAATGAAAGATTTTTTTTTACTTTTCAAGGAGAAAAGCTAACTGGAGGGGAGGGGTGGGTAGGGAGGAAAGTGTGCAACAATGATTGAATGGAAATCCAAAGTCTGTAAACTTTCATTAAAAAGAAAAAAAAAACCAACAGCCCTGAAATGTATTCCCAAAGGCACATGGTTCAAATCCACCAGCGGCTCTACCAAAAAAGGACAGGCCATCTTCTCCCATGCAATTTACTGCCTCTGACAATTCTCTGGAGGGTCAGCTATGGGTCAGTTTTGACTCCAGGGTGTAACATTGACAACATCAGCTTTGGCTGGCAGGAGAGGAGAGAACCCGAGGCCTTGGAACACTTTAGTGGGGAGCGTCTTCTAGGAGCAGCCCCAGGGCTTGGGGGCTTTCCTGGCCCACAGCTTCCAAGCACCCTCAGGATTCCCAGACAGACACTGATTGGCAGGAGGCGGGGTATCCCCAGGGAAACCCATCTTCACGCCTGGGTGACCCCCGCTGCCGCCTGCTTCTTAACTCTGCAGGAAATCAGGGCTGGCAGCCTCGTGTGGGAGGATGGAGCCGGTTTCCATGGCAACCCTTAGCTGCCTCATCCCTGGCTCTAGAAAGGAAGGAAGGAAGAAAGGGTGGGGACATAGCTGCGGGAGGATCTCTCTGCTTGGCTGCAACCTTGGTGGGCTGGGAGGAGCTCTCTCTGTGACCTTTCCCGTTTCAAATCAGGGCTGGGTTCTCGCTGAGATGAGGTTCTAATATACGATCCAAAGGGGGCCCAGTTCCTTTCCATGGGGTGTCTCCTTGGAACCAGATCATTAGGGAATTACCCCAGGAATATGCAGCTCCCACCACGCAACTCCAGCTGGTACCCAAGATACTGAAGTACAATATGAAAGACAGTGATTTGAACCCTTCTTTGCTTTAATCTTTTAAGTTCTTCTTCCTGGATGCTTGCCTCCCCCACTCCTTCGCAAGCTCTTTTAATAGATGCTTTAGAGGAATGCGGGAGCCTTGGCAGTTAAGCTTTTAGCTGCTGATCAAAAGGTTGCTAGTTCAAAACTATCAGCTGCTCAAAAAGAGAAGGATGTGGCTGCCTTCCGTAAAGATTTCCGCTTTGGAAATTAGGAGCTGTTCCGACTCCACCTTATATATTCTCTATTAGTAGGCTTCGGTTTGGTGCAGAGGGTTTTGATGTTTTGTTTTTATTTTTTTTTTTTAAATGAAGAAAAGAGAGATGAGTGTCCCAGGTTAGTTAGGATGGTATCTTGCCTCAGAATTCCAGAATTGCTGGACTTCTAGAAAATATCTTTGTTGACGTAATGAAGTGCTTCCTACCCATCCTCTTTATTATTATTATTCTGCTTCATTTTGTATTGCTTATCACGTCGTTTCTTTTCTATAGACAGATTCACTTCTTAAACTTAAATTTGTGTAAAAAGGAAACATTTTTCCTGATTGCAGTTGGCAAAGGACAACATGTGTCACTCACTGCTAAAAATAGAAAGTGAAGAAAAAATGATCTGGAGTGTGGGGGTGCCCTGCTGGTGCCTCCAGGCCCACACCCATCTTTGCTCTGTTACAATAAAAACAAGAACAGTGAACTTGAACGTGGCTTCTGTGAGCCTGGCCCTGAGGCTCCAGCAGTCCCACTCTGACACTTTCTCCTTGCTGCAGTCAGGGAGGCAAAAGGAGTCAAAAAAGGAGGAAGGGTCTCCACAGAGGCAGTGTCCACTGTGTCTGGTCTGCGAACCACCCTAGGACATCTCTGCCATCTACTCTAGACATCTACCCTGTGGCCCCCTGTCCAGAGGGACCTGGAGGGCCTGGCCCTGCTCACTCTTGACACAGAAACAGGCTCAGAGCAGTGAAATGTATCACCCAAAGTCATTGGTTTTGATGTTATTTTCTAAATACAATGCTTTTTGGATAGCAGTGTTACATCTTACTGTTTTAATAAAGAGTTCTATTTTCATACAACCTAGTTGAGTGGCAATGTCGTGAAATATATTAAACCATCCTTATTTGTAGAATTGCCTCTGAGTGTGATTCAGCTTGAGAGGTTTGAATGTGACCAGAATGGTAGGGTTGGTGCTGGGGGGAGAGGGGCGCGGACAGCAGCAGAGTGTCTGCTATGGAAAAGCAACTCTCCAAGGCAGGTGTTATTCCGCAGAAGAAACAGCATCAGAAAAGGGAAGTGGCTTGCCCCAGATCAGACGGCTCGTCAGTGATAACTGTAGGATTCAGATGCAGCCTTCTGTTTTCTGGGTCTTTCCATCAGTGATTCTCTTGATGACAGAAGGAGACCAGGAACCCATACAAAATGAGGGGAGCTATCTCAATCCAAAGTAAGATCAGTGGAAAAGGTCTGAGTAATCCTTCATCATGATACATGCATCTGTTCCAATGGGGGAAAAGAAGGAATTATGTAGATTAAATTATCACTGGGAAAAAAACATCTCCCTCCCCATATCTTTTAAGTATTACTCCAGGGCAATTGCCTTCCCATGAATTTCCTCATCTGTGTGGGGCCACAGATACTCCTTGGAATGAAATTTGATTAGAAGTGAAAGACATCTCAAACCAATAGCCCCTTCAGCACAGTTGTTCTTTCTTTCTGCTAATATGGAGACCAGAGATGGACCTCATTCGTGTGGTCTCTCCACCATCCTAACCACTGGTTTTCACCTCAGGTCCATTGGAGTTGCTTGAGTTCCAACCATCTTGCCCACATCTCAGGCAGCA